CTGGCAGTGTTGAAGGGCAGGTTGGATGGGGCTTGGAGCAACCTGGGCTGGTGGGAGGTGTCCCTGCCCATGCAGGGGGGTGGAGCTGGATGATCTTGAAGGTCCCTTCCAACCCAAACCATTCTGGGATCTATGATGCTACAATTCCTGCCTGGAAACCTCTCTGGAAACAAGGAGCTTTCCTGCCATTCTTCCTGGGCAGTTGCCTCCATGCTGGTCCCCTCCTCCCCTGCAGGAACAACCACCCAACCACCCAGCCCTGCCCTCCTCCCTTAGCAGTACCTGTAGATAATACTGTTAATGGAGAAGGTGAAGCCATCAAAGGAGTTTGCTACCACCAGGAAAGAATCATCTCCCACCGAGAAGAACTCCCAGTCCAGGGCACTGGGGATGAAGGAAGCAGAGGTGCAGGTGAGGTGGCCCTTCTGTGGCCAAACAAGCCCCATGGGGTTGAGCCCACCCCAATCTTCTTTCTTCATGTGCAGAAATTCCACAGGGGAAGTCCTCCCTTGCTCACCCATCCAGGGTCCCCTTGTAACTCCCACTGGGATTTGCTACCAAGGACCTGTCACCCATCACCCTTCCCCACCAGTCTCGGTCCCTGGGGTGGGGACCAACCCCCCAGGAGACCTTCAAGTTTCTGAGGGGAAGGAGATGGGCTGAGGAACGTTGGCACAGGTACCTGTAGGTGAGGAGGTCCTGGAACTTGACAAACATCTGGGCAGTGATGTTGAGCTCGTAGATGGAGGAGTTGATGGCATAGAAGTTGGAGGGTGCTGGCACCCCACTGTCATAGCTGTGGCTGTTGGCAACAGCCAGGAAAACTCTGTCCCCGATGTGAAAGACCTCCCAGTCAGCAGCACCAAAAGTCTGTGGGGGAGGAAACCACAAGCTGGGCATGGACAGACCTTGGCAAGCCAAGGATGCTGTGGGGGGACCCTGCTGGAGGTGCAGCAGAGGAGTCACCCACTCCTAAAACCCTCCCAAAAAATCTCACTTGGTCAATCCCTAGGGAACAACCAGTGGGAAACTATCACTGACTTTCTTAGAGGACTGGAAGAACAGTTGCTTCTGTGATGATTTCTTGGTTTGTCTAAACCCAAAGGGGACACCAAGGAGTCTGACTAGTGGCCAGACCTTACCAGGATCGACTGGAAGAGCTGGAAGGAGCCACTGAGCCAGATGTAGATGTGTGAGTAGATCTTGGTGGATGTGCCATTGAAGGTGTTGGCCACAGCCAGGAAGGAATAGGGCCCAATGGTGAAAAATTCCCAGTCGTAGGCTCCAGATGTAGGGATGGTCTGGTTGATTTCAAACAAGCCTGTCCTGGGATTCCACTTGTATATCACACTGTCTATGTTGTGGTTATTCCCTGGGGAAGACAGACAGGCAAGGGTGCCCTGTGAGGAAGAGGAACACCTGGCTCACCTAAGAGACATGACCCAGGAACAGGTTAAGCTCCACAAGGACTTGCCAGCAGGTTGTGAGGCTGGTTCCCTCCTAGGAAGCAGCCAACGAGTCCCTAGAGCACCCATGCCTGCCTAGAGCCTCCACCCCCACCCAGAGACCTGGCAGCCTGTTCCCAAGCCCCTGGTGGGGGCTTCAAAGCAGCAGCAGGACAGGAGGGTGCAGCACACTAGAGGGTCCTGAGGTGGCCAAGCCCTGCTCAATTGAGCCCCAGCTTGACTGGGACAGTCCCAGCCAAGTGCCTGAGACACCAGCACCACAAGTTGCCATCGCTCTTTGCACAGAAGCTCACACATCTGGGTGGGAGCCACAGCTGGAGCAGCACCCTCTCCCAATGTCCTTCAGAGCTCCCTTGCTCAGCCACTCTGCTTGGCTCCTGGGTGCTGGGACTGGCCAGAAACCTCCACGTGCTGATCCCTGCTGGTGGCACCACCTGTCCCATGGTGGCTGAGCCCACCAGCACCAAAGCATGTGCTCCATCCAGTTCCTGGGCTCCAGCCAAGGATCTCAACGTCGTGTCCAGGTGGGACCCCAGCTGGCTTTAAAGCTAAAACACCTCCCTGCACCTTCAGCCTGGCACAGCCCCTCCAGCCACAGCTCTGCTTCCTGGCTTCTGCAGGGGGGGGGGGGCACCACCAGCCCCTTTCCACCTTCCACTCAGCCCTGGTTAGTTTCTGGTGGCTAAGGTGGGTTCACAGGCAAACTTCATTGCAACAGCCAAGGCTTTGGCAAGAGGGGCTGCAGGGAGAATGGGGGGTGTGGGGGAACAGCCCCATGAAGAAGTGACATCTCCTCAGGGTCTGACCTTCCACCATTTCCTAAGGGGAACATCCCTGCTTTGGCTTGGCCACGATGATTTTCACCCCCACATGATGTGCACAGCCCCTGAAACACCTTTATGCTTCCACTGCCACAGGAACAGGTCCTCCAAACTGGTCACAGTGGGACCCAACAGGCAACACAGGGAGTTTCTAGCCCAGTTGACAGGGAGTTGGTGCCCAAGGAACCTGTCACCAGCTTTGAACCTGCTGCCCAGGAGCCACACCTGATGGCAGGGAAGGAGACACTGTGGCTGAACCCAGCTGGGAGCACCCTTGAGAGCCAGGGCTGTAGCATCCACCCATCACACCCCACACTGAGGGGTGAGCACCCCAACCCAGAGCACTTGGGGGTGGGGACAGGGCTGGATGTCACCAGGCTCTCCCTCAGCTCCCTGCATGGTTACAGGGCAGAGGCTTCAGCTTCTCAGAAGGCTCAGGCCCTGCACACCCAGGCAGCTGCCCTCACATCACACAGCAACAGGGACACACATGGAGGGAAGCAGAGACATGCAGCAAAGCCACCAGCCCCACCCCTGCCTTTATCCCCCACCACCAGAAACCCAGAGGGGAACCATGGCAGTCTCTTCCCCAAGTGCTTCTCTCTCCTAAAACATGGACATGAAAAGGAAATTCTTCAGTGTGAGGGTGGTGAGAGCCTGGCCCAGGTTGCCCAGGGAAGCTGTGGCTGCCCCATCCCTGGCAGTGTTGAAGGGCAGGTTGGATGGGGCTTGGAGCAACCTGGGCTGGTGGGAGGTGTCCCTGCCCATGCAGGGGGTTGGAGCTGGGTGATCTTCATGGTCCCTTCCAACCCAAACCATTACCATGATTCTCTGAGGACCCAGGAACCTCCTGGGTCACCCCACCCTCCAGCAGAGCTCGCTCAGCAAGATGCAGCAGCAGGAGGATGCTCCTGAGCAGGGCAGGGCACTCTGGTCCCCAGTGTCACCACCCCAGGGCTGCCTGCCCCAGCTGAGCTGGGCTGGTAGGGAATTCCAGGGCTGGGTACCTTCTCTGTGGTTGACCACGGCCAGGAAAGCCTCTCCCTCGATGACAAAGGCCTCCCAGTCCCTGGCACCGTGGGTGCTGATCCTCTGGTAGGTGATGAACTTCTCCTTCCTGTGGCTCCACTTGTAGATGACAGAGAACTCCTGGCCCCTGTCATTCTGCTCAAAATTAGCCACTGCTAGGAAGACCTGAAGAACAACAAGCCAGGACATCTGGGTTTTTTCCTCCTCAGAAAAAGGGATGAGGACAAGCACGGGCAGGGTGAGGTGGGTACAGGCAGGGGCTGAGGTGGGCAGTGTGGGATGAGATGGTCCTGGCTGGCAGGGACCCCTGAGCAGCCCCCCAAGCTGTGCACCCAAAGGGGGGACAGGGACCCAGGGGCTCCTGAGAGGTGGGGCAGGGACAGGATTTCAAACAACAACCTCAGAGCTGAGCAGAGGGAGAGCCAAGCTGTGACCAGTCCCAGCTAGAAAACCTGGCCCAAGCTGGGCAGGAGGGAAGACATTCTGCCTGGTGAGTCTGGGGGAGCTTTTCTCAGTGAAAACCTGAAGGAAAACCACGTGAGCCTTGGTGAGCACAAGCACGGGTGCTTCATGGGGCAGGAACCACAGGGAACTGGAACCCCCCCATCCTGGTGATCTTCAAGGGATGTTGTGGCTGCAGACTGGGAGACCCAGGGTGGTTCCCATCTGTGGGTAAATCCAGCCAGCAGCATTCCCATCTGCTGCCCACCAGGCTGCAGCCAGAGCTCTGCAGAGCAGCTGCAAGGCTAGGGATGGCAGGGGAGTTCCCAGCCCAAAGGCAACTCTGCAATACAGCTGCATGTTCAGGGCTTGAGCAGGTCTTCTGCAGGACCCCACCAGCAGGCAGGTAGCAGGGGACGTGGCCCATTTGTGTGCCACCAAGCCTGGAGGCAGGAATTCTGGCCACCCCTCTGGAGCACGTGGCTCAGGATGGGGAAGCCCTGCAGGAGCACTGGGACTAAGTCAGAAGAGAGGTCCTGGCAGAGGGGGAATGATCAGAACCCCCCCAGGAGCTCTGCAGGGAGCTGGCTCTCAGTAGAGGGTTGATTGGCTGGCTGGGGCTCCTTGCAAAGTGACAGGTAGTTCCCCAGGGAGAGGGAACAGGCAGGTACCCTGCAGCAGTCCCAGGGCACATTGCCCAGGAAAGGCTCCAAGCTCCTGGGTTGATCTCAAAGCTAGAGGGCTTAAAAATGCAGAAGGTTGGATTCAGTGGGTCTCCAAGAGGGAGCTACAGACTCTGGTGGCTCTGTCAGACCACAGGGAGGTCTCTAGGACCAGGGTGGACCTTAGGCACAGCAGAGCACCCAGACCTCAGGGAGGGCACTGCTCCCTGTGCTCCATGTGTCCCCAGAGTGATGCCAGAACCATTGGCTGGGTGATTCCTGCCTCACTTCAGTGCCTGCTGGGAACTCCAGCAGATCCTGCTTCCCAGGAGGTCCCCAGCCCTCTGTGCCAGGGGGGAGGCTGCACCCTGAGCTCCTCCAGCCCCAGCTGGACCACAGCTCTGCAGGATGCAGGACATTTTGACACTGGCACTCACTGCAGCTGAGGCAGGAACCAGAAAAGCCTGCTAGAAATTAACTCCAACAACCAGAGGGATCTAGAGAACTGCTGGACTTTGGGGGCTGACATTGCAGACATCCTGGTGATCCCCAGGGAAGAGACTCGAGCACTCCAGACACAATTCACCTGTGCTGCCAGCACTACTTGCTGAAAGTGCCCTGGGGGGAATTGGTTGTTTCTCAACAAAACCAGCAGAACACAGAGGGCAGCCCCCAGACCCACCAGCAGCCCCCAGGACAGGCCCAGCAAAGGTAGAAGGGAGAAGGATTCACCCCCTAAATCATGTCAGAACCTCAGGGCTTCAGAGGAGAAGCCCATCTTGGGCACTTGCAGTTCAATATACTGAAATAGGAAAGCACTGAGATGACCTTCCAGGCAGACTTACCTTCTTGCCTATGGTGAAATACTTCCAGGACTGAGCTTGGTAGGTGGGGATGTTCTGGTAGGGCACAAACTTCCCATCAGTCCACTTGTAGATGGCTGATCCTGGAGGGCTGTACCTGTTGGCAGTGGCTGCAAACAGTCCCACTTTTGGGATGGTGAAGACCTCAACACCCATGGTTTCAGAGTTGGTCACCAGGTTCTGGTACTCCTCCACATAGTCCAGCTTCTGCTTGACTGAGAGACCACAGAAGAAAGAAAGAAGAGAGGGGGGGGATGAGGTTAAGACCAGGTGACCCTGCCTGAAGAGGTCCCAACTGGCATGGCATGGTTTGCTGCTCTATGCACCTTTCTGGGGAGAAAAGAAGGTTGTTGTGGTGCTGCTGGTGGTGAAGAACCAAGAGCTGAGAGGGTGCTGGAAAGCCTGACCCCATCTCTTTGGGCAGCACCTTCAGCCCCATCCACCCCTGCCTGCTCTGCAGGGCTGCTAACCTGGCAGTCCCCTGGGCCATGGCTTTGGGTTGCTGCTCAAGAAGTGGGTTGAGACATTTCTCCTAAGAAGAATGAGGAGGAAGACAGATCTAGAGCAAAGAAATAAGCCTGGGCTGCTGAGACCAGCTGGGTCAACCCATACCCACTTGCAGCAGCCCCTGCACCACATGTTTTCTCTGGCTGGAGTCAGCATGAGCTCTGGAAGAAGTTAGAGAAGACTTAGACAGAATTAATACCAGAAATTAGAGGCTAAGGGTAGTCCTGGTGGCAGAGGAGTGGGCACTGGAAGAGACAAATGGCAGGAGAAGGGCTAGGAGAAGGGCCAGGGCTGGTGGCACCAAGGGGCACAGGTGAGCAAGATCTCAGCAGGGGGTCTCCTTGGGGAAAACAAGGACAAAGTGCCAATCCTGAAGACTTCCAGAGGTGGGGAAGGATGGGGAGTCCAGCCACTGCTGGCTCCTCTGGGGAGCAAACAGCTCATCCTAACCCACCAGGTGGGCACCAGCATAAGGAAAACCCCAGGAGAAGGACAGCTTGGTTGCAGGCAACCAAGAGGCAGGGGGACACCACAGCCCCCTTATTCTGATGCTCCCCAACTAAATTCCTGCCCTTAACTGCTGTCAAGGGCAAACCCCTGCTCCCCCTCTGCTGCAAGAGCCTCCCCCCACCCCCAGGCACACCAGTACCTTCCAGTATGGAGATCCAGGCAGTGCCATTGCAGAGGTACAACCCTCTCCAGGAGGCATTGAACCAGAACTGTGCCTTCTCCTGCTTGGTGCAGGGTGGACGGGTCCCCAGGGTCACCTTCGTGCCAGTCTCTGGGCATGGAGAAGAGCAAGGCAAGTGTCTCCAAGTGCACATGGCAGAGGAGAAGCAAGGCCTGTCCCCATGCATGCAGGAAGGGCTGGGTGTCTCAGTCCCACCCCGATGACAGGCACTAGGGAACAGTGGAATGACATCCTGGCCCTGAGCTAGGCAGCCACCAGCTGAGCAAACCCTGGGAGCTGGCACCCATGGGGCTACTCCCAAGGGAGCCAGGCAGGGGAACCCCCAACTCTCCAGGGGGGGTTTGGACAGGGGTCCCACCCCACATACATGTTGAGAACCAGAGGGTGCTGGGAACAGCCCTGTTGGTCCTGCCCTGTGCCCAGCCCCGTGCAAAGAACCTCCCTCCACAGAAGCAGGAGGTGGCCAACCAAGCCCACCCCCTGGGCAGTCACTGACCGTAGGGGTATTTCAGCACCTCGTTGCTCCCTGGCTTGGGAGGCTGATCCTGGAGGGCAGTGGGGACAGAGAGTGTGGCTGCTTTGAAGTTGATGCTGGTGCATATCTGAGGGGTGGCATCAGCTCCTGGCAGCAGGACCAGCTGCCTCAGCAAACCCTGGGAAAGCAGGAGCAGCAGGATGGAGAGCAAGTCCAGCAGTTCCAAGAAGGGGATGCTGCAGGTGATCCATACACTGGCTTTCTCTCTCCCAGCTCCTTGCCCTCCTTCCTGGGCTCTGGAAGCCTCCACGGGATTCCCACACCTTTGTCAGCTCCTCAGGACCTGCCCAGCCTGCCCAAATCTCCATCCTGGCCAATTTAAGAGCTGGTGCAAGGGGAGCACTGGCGAGATGGCTTTCACCACCAGTCAGGGCCAGGCCCTACCTTACCTTGAGACCCAAGCACCACCTCACCACACAACATGCTCTCAAGACCACAACTGTCCCACCACGTGGGCCAGCACTGCCCTTCACACTCCCAGAGCCAGGCAGGGACCGAGCCCAGCAGTGCGGACCCCCCCCACCAGTCAGGGCCAGGCCCTACCTTACCTTGAGACCCAAGCACCACCTCACCACACAACATGCTCTCAAGACCACAACTGTCCCACCACGTGGGCCAGCACTGCCCTTCACACTCCCAGAGCCAGGCAGGGACCGAGCCCAGCAGTGGGACCCCCCCAGTCACCTGTGTTACCCCTGGCCCTGCCAGCACAGGGGGCTGGGAGGGGCTGCACCCACCAGGGCAGCCCCACACCTCGGAGCACCTACCGTGAACACCCCTTTCCTCCTCCTCCTGTTGCCCAGGTAGAAGCTGGCCCCCTTCACCGACAGGGAGGCTGGAAACGGCGTCCCCACCACCCTGTAGGTGGGCAGAGAAGAGGCGTGGGGACAATTTTAATGCCACCTGCTGGAGGCTGGAGATGTGCTGGCCGGAGGAACACCCCCCTGCCAGCCCTGCAGAGCCCCCCCAGGGCTCATC